ATCCGTCTACATGTTTTTTTTTTTTTTTTTAACAACTTGAAAATTACAAAAGAAAAATTTGTCATAATTTTCGTTTTCTGACAATTAAACACTGTTATAGGTACATTTTAGTGTACATTTCCCTATTTTAAACATTTAAGTCCTCATACAATTCTAATAATTGAAATAATAGATTACAAAAATTTTTCTGCTACACCTAAGCAAGTCTTTAATTTCAAAACCGATCCCAAACCAAAATTTCGAGAATTCCAAATTTCAAGAATCCCGAAATAGTTTCGGAATTTTAAGACAAATCGAGAATCTCGAAATTGCTTATTGTAACTCAACCATCGATCCATTCTACAGAAGTTTATGTGGATTCCACCATACTAGTAAAATGACAAAGACATTCATCATTCGATACTGCAGAAAGCATTTTTTTCAGTACATTACCAGGTACACAAAGCTTCAAACTTCTTCCAGCTTTAGAAACATATAAACACGGAAAAAAAAAACTATCAGATACGAATTCAACCACAGAACTTCGATGTTAAATTAAATGGGTATAACCAATCCAATGGCCTATATATATATATATATATATTTTTTTTTTTTTAAATTTTACATATATTAAATTAAATGGGTAAATGGATATCCGTTATAATCGCAGTTAATACTCATAACCGATGGATACCCGTTATAACCATGGGTAATACCCATAACCGCCCATTTAAATTTCATGGATAAACGGTTATACCCATAATTGTTTGTTCATCTAAACAGTTATCCATAACGTAACCGTGAACTTTAAATGAGCGGGTAACTACGATTACCCAAACCCATGAGTATTTTGCCCATCCCTAAGCATAAGATTTCGAGAAATCATGAAATATTTCAAGTCTTTGATTTTGCTAGGCCTTCTACTTGCACCTTGGTTCTCGTCTCTTCCACTACCGCAGTTGAGACATCCAAAGATGAGAAAAAAGGTTAGTTAATTATACAGTGTGGTGACTCTATATAAAAATATACAAGATACGTATCATTTACTGAGCATATTGACATTGATTTATGAATAGTATATAGTATATATACACACGTATTTAACATTGATTATCTGGTTAAGTGCACATTTTCTCATATTATGGAAATCTTAGACTGACTTAGCTTAATTAATTTAGTATATAACGCAACAACAGAGCCAAAAGCGGTAGAAGATAGCACTGAAACAAAGCCTGATGGATATGGATATGGAGGTGGAGGTGGCGGCTATGGTGGTTGGGGAGGCGGAGGAAGTGGTCATCATGGAGGCGGAGGCTGGGGAGGAGGTGGTCACCATGGAGGCAGAGGCTGGGGAGGAGGTGGTCATCATGGTGGTGGCGGCTAGGGAGGAGGCGGTAAAGGCGGTGGTGGTTGGGGGAGAGGTGGCGGTGGCTGGGGAAAAGGCGGTGGAGGTGATGGTGGAGGAAACTAAAGTTAGATGCCTTCATTAGTCTCTAAAGGATCAACTTTATGAGCATTGGAGAACAATTTAGAAACAAAAATAACATAAATACAGAACTTGAAATACTTATATTTTATTACTCAATAATACTGCAATACAAAATAAAATTACACAATAAATATAGAAATTAAAATGGTACTGACTTGAATGAATCAAAGGTAGAGGCTAGCACAAAAGCTATGTTATTCGAACAGTATTTCCATCCCACCCTTGTGGTTCTATAACGTTTGCCCGACCAGGATACAACTATCTAATTCTATAACCCACACTGGATTATAGAATTCTAGCGAATTGTTTTGTGTGTTTACTCTCTAAGAATTTTGTATGGAAGAAAAAGAGGAAAAAAAGATGATTAATTAATATTAATTATATTAGGCTATATTATACAAACCTAATCCCACAACCATAAAGTTTAAGCCTTCAATCCATTTCCAAATGGTCCAAATTCTAACTACTAGTACAAAGGACTAGGTCTATATAATAGCCATTGACAATTCAATGTTTTCCGATGTGGGACAATAGGAGTCTCAAAACTCCTACAATGAGAACTATATGTATGTATGCAGTATGCACATATATAAATAGAACTCCGTCCGTGCTAGGAGATATGAATAAGCTCCATGAATGCATATGTACGCATGGAATCATGTACGTATTTAATGTTCCAATCACGAGCATGAGTACATGAGTGATGAGTGCAGGCAATTAGCTCATTCAAATGTTAATATATGTGTAGTACGTAGTACCTGCACTCTGTACTCATGATCCGACGTGTATGAAGCATTATACATTGTACTCTATGTCCTTGCTTTTTGGATAAAAGTCCTTCAATTTTAAGGTACGTACTATAGATTTAACTGTTAAAAGTACTCTATCAACAATGAACCACTCAAGGATTACAAAATTATTACTTGGACACTACAAATGTGCTTCAAAGATATTAATATTAAGCAAAAGATTTTTAAAATAACACCTAAAATGTGTCATTTGAAAGTTTCCCTTAAATTTATTGGACTGCAAGAAAGTTTTTTAGAGCATTTTCACCAAAGTAATTAGGCTAATTTTCAAGTTTTAAAATTTTTCATCCAAACATAGCATAAGAATTATAAAGAGAAAATTCATAATAACATATACAACCTCTCCTTTACTCTGTTATGTGTGATGTGTGGTACTGTTGTTGATGTTATAATCCAATAGTAATTTAGTATCTCATTCAACTATCAGTATCTCAAATATTTTTTTGGTTTATTGACGTTGTGCATTTGTCTATTTGTTTGATCATTGTTGTATATCTAGATATTTTTTAGTGAATGTATACGATGACCTTTTAATTGACAGCCTAGATTATTTGATCATAAAATTTATGTCGGCTTTGGTTAGGAATTTTTTCTCTTTGGAAAAGAACTAGCAAGAGTGTCTGCGTGGTGCTGCGGGTTTCGAAACTATATAAAACATGTAGAAAGTTTTAAAATATAAATGATAAGCCATAGTGCTTATATAAATATATTTACAACCCTATCTAAAATAAGAAACAATGAGTAGTCGAACTTCTTTAATCTAATGGGTTTGTTTCTTCACTTTGTTCCTCCTTTCTTTTGATATGTAGGTGCTTTCATTTATCTGTTAGAATTTGGAAAAATAGAAGTTAATGTGAACAAATAACAGTTGGATTTGTTAAATGATCCTTTTGCTAAAGATCAGAACAATAAAAGGACTTACAGAAAGTTAATAAAATGACTTACGCAATTGAAAACTGTTGGCACACTAGGTCCTGCATAGATGAAAACATTAGGCATTATTAACCAAACATGTAAAGTTTATGTCAAATTTTATATTATGTGTTTTTTGAACTATGTATGATAACGACGAGATAACAAAACGTACGCATGGTTTGAGCTATGGCCTTAAACCTTAAATACTGTATGAATCCAAGTTTTACAAATTATTCGTAATCAAACCAATCAATTGAATTATGCTTAAACAAACTTGGTCCAAGGTGTTTAAAAAGTGAAATATAAACCCTCATTTTGCAGAATTGTTGACTTAGAAAAACGAATGCATAAGCGGACAGATGGCATTCTAGAGAAAATTTTCTCAATCTTGACATTCAACACACAAAATGTCAAATCTAAAGTATTTAGCATACTTAAAATGGCTTCCGAAATTGATTTGTTCAATGAGATAATGAGCGAAAGACATAAAAATCAGACTGTACTAAACTTTTTTGTGCATTTATTGATCCATTGTTAAAAAGATTTGCAGAGAAGAGAGATCTTTACCTAACTTTTCAGAAATGTTGGTGAAGCAGCAGCTGTCGCAGTCTTAGTTATAATTTGACGGTAGAAACTCTTCAATGATGGTCCATATGCGGAACAAAGACTTAATATTAATAAGCATTTGACCAAAGAGTGATCCAATTCAAGTTCAAGGGATTAAATCTGCAACCAAAAACAATAACAAAGTAACCCATAAAGTTATGTAACTAATCCTATGTATTTGAAACTATGTAACAATTTTTAACTTGAGTTTCAAAAATATAGAATCCAATCAAATTAAAATCCTAGTATGAAATTAAGAATCCCAATTAAACAAAAACTGACCTAATTAATTGGATATCCTGGCGAGTACTGCTCAAATGTTTCATTACAGAAAAGTGGTAGTTGAAAAACCTCATATTTAAGAACTGAATTGAGGAGCTGGTTTACGTTGTGAAAGTGAAGCGAAACGTAACTTCTTCATTTCGAGATCAGCAGATCAGAGTTTGGAGTTGTCTGATTCTTTTTGTCTCAATCAACCACGTTCTCCATTTCAAACTATTCATCAATTATGAATCAAAAAACTAAAACTCTTTTAATTTTCGGTGTGTATTCAATGATTTGCTTCCTGTAAAAATAGGAAATATGAAATAATTATATGGAGATGGAATCATATATAGAGCTAGAAGAGGAAGTAAAGAAGATATGTAAAAGCAAATTAAGAGATCATCCTATTACAAAAGCTACAATAGTAAATTAAGAGAGTATCATATTTGGAAACAGAGATACGTATAAAGCCGCAAAAAAAAAAAAAATTATAATTACCGACAAAATATTGGAAAATCTAAAAGCTAGGGATTTTCACCTTTTTAGTGAAAAAAAATTGTTTCTGAGTGATATAACCCAAAATCATCTTAGACAGCAAAGAAACATAGGATTGAGAAATCAGACCTTAATTTCCAAAACCAAGCAGGGACAAAATTGGGAGACTACTGTTTAACGAACAGTGCTTTGGGCAAAAATGAGAGCATTCCACACATCACGAGTTTGGGCAAGCCTGTTGGTCAGTCTCTAAAGAAATCAGCTCTCCTCACTCAGGTTTGGAAGGATGACTTGAATTCTGGGCATCTCTTGGTTTCATTGTTTGATTGTTCGGTGAAAACATCCTCTCCTTCGTTCCAACTCCCGAGATGTCTTTATTTTTGTAACCATTTGTAGCAATCTTACTCATGATTAGGAGTACAAAGTAAAAATAGAAGAAGAGATTTCGGTAAGAAAAATTTGTATAAATTCAGTAGAAACTTAGATAAAATTGTAATTGAATTTTACAAACATTTACTTTAGCTATCTTCGATCTCATCATCCTCATTTATTTTTGATGGAACTTGAACATAAAAATCAACAATGCAGAAGGCTCTTCGTAATTAAATAGAAAAGTACAATAGATTAAAAGTGCTTAATTAATCAGCTGCTTAAACTTTGGTACCGGAGTACTCCTTTTCCACTGCTTTCTTCAGGAAGCTATCTTCTTCCAGCACCATTTGAACTGGCAAGAACCCCATCCCATTGGCCATAGCAAGCATCATCCGCTTGGTTTCAGCCTTGAACTCCTCCAAATCAACCGCCCCGTTCGAGTCATGATCAAACTGCACGAACAGCGAGTCGTAGACATAAGCAATCTCTTCGGGGTCTGGCTTCACATCAATGCCATAGTGGGTCTCAAAGACCCTCAGAGACCGAAACTCCTTCAGCATCTCTGCATAAGAAAGCAGACCATCGTGGTTGGTGTCGAGATGAGCAAAACGGTCGCGAATTGAGAGGCTGAATGCTTCTTCATCTTCCACAAAGTTGACAATGGTGGCACCATCCAACACTTCTACACTCATCTTCTCTTATGCTAGCTTGGGAATTGATCACAAGGAAATTAGGATTGATTTGTATTTTGGTTGTAAATTAAACAAGCGATGGAAATGTTAATTATTTATAAACACATGCATGAGGCACTATTTTGTTTTTTGGCCCCTTGTTTCTCTAATCCATAGGTTTTATGGACTTTGTTTCTGTAAACAAACGTTAATCAACTTTACCAGCCAACTAAAGGAAAGAAAATGAAAATAGACCAACCCACGTTGTAAGTGGTCGATTGCTTTGCATTCATCTTTAATATTGTAGTTGAATTCAAATCAATCGATCACTTGTAACTCTGATTGCTAAATTGCTTGGCTCATATACTTGAAATTATTCAAAATGGCTAAAACAGTCTACTTTATTTTTTGCACTCAAGTTTGAATTTTCATTCCCGTAATTTAGAAAAATCTAGTGTATACTTAGACTCTAAGAATGGCTTGGTATTTTTTTTAAATCTAAAACTTTTTTTTTTGTTTTTTTTTTAAAGAATAAGTTCCAAGTATCTTCTTCCACTTCGGATGCCTTCATAGTAATAGATTACTTTTTAGTCAAATAACTTGGGTTCAATTTGATGACATTTGAAAGTCATATAACATATTATATTAATATTTGTTAAAGTAAAATGAACCATTCAAATCCAATTGGCCCTAGACACGTCTGAAAAGTCAAATTCAGAATAAATTGACCACAGAGGACGCGTTGTCAAACTGAGCAGAAAATAACCTTTGCACTTCTCTATGCGTGTGGCTGTGTTATTCTTTCTCCACTTCCACTCGAGACAAAATATGAACCATAATATCACTTGCAAACAGTGGCGAATTCAGGATTTCAAGATCACGAAGAAAGGGGATCTCAAGATAAAAGTTAAAAAAAATAAAAATACTAAACTAGTTTGGTTCCATATCACTATATTTTTATTGAATTTGGTTCATTGAATAATCAAAATTAATCAACCACATCAAGTGGCCCAGTGGTAAGGGCGCGGATTTCGGCTCTCAAAATACAAAAAAAAGGGAGGTCATGACTCTACAAAGATGAAATTTGTTAATGTAACATATATATTGCAATTGGGAGTTGAGACTAGAGTCTAGGATTAAAAACTTAAATGAATTTGGGAGAAATAAAATTAGGCAGCTAGAGGTGGTGGAATGGCAAATGGTGTTGGGGGATGGGGTAACTCGAGTTTAAAGTTGGGAGGTTGGAACGATTTGGGGTTGAGAGTTCTTAAATATAATTTGGGGATATTGGAAAGGACTGGGGTTCTCGGGCTCTGTATAAAAAATAGAGATATTTTAGTTTTTAAATCTTTTATAATTACCTGTCTAAAAAACGCTGTCGTTTCGACTAGGTCTTTTAAAACAAAAATTAAAAACCTCTTTTTCTTCGTTATAAGCACTGCTGCATGCACATCCATGCAGGCAACAAGACTCTCCACTGCACTTGCCCAAATTGTTGGAGGGTCCCGAAGGTTAATGACAAGTGTTTCTTTGGACTTCCGGAGGGTCCCGGGACCTCCTAGGTCCTTATATGTGACAAGCTCATATTTATATATATTTTACATCAAATTCACTTGTCTTTTCTTAGTTAGTTCCTTATATTTTTGAGCTATTTACTTTGTTTTTGTGTTTTGTAGGATTTGTCAAGCAAAGAAAAGAAAAATAGCACAAGTGGGATTTTGAAAAGAAAAATAGCACAAGTGGGATTTTAAGTAACAAATTCGTCAAAACTGCCTGTGCAGGTCAGTTGACTTTGGAAGCAAGTTTCAGACAGCTCAGAATGAATTAGAGAATGAGCCTTATATGCTTGGAAAGCTACGGATGTCTATTTTCTGGAGCATTTCACATATTGTTAATATCATTTTTCTAGAAGAAGTTATGGCCGTTTTAACACTGAAAGGTTCCTAAGAGGCTGAGCAGTTTGTAATTGACAAGAAAGCATTGAAAGCAATAAATCCAATAAAACTAGCAGCCAAAACTGATGCAGCCAAGAACAAGCCAGCGGACACCTATTCAAATATCAGAGGAAATGGAATTAAAGATGAGGATTAAGAGGGAGTTATTGGCATAAAGGCTACCCAAGGAGTTACAATTGTTTCACCATTTCCTCTCACTTATTGTCATCACTAAATGGCTATTAGTGGGTGAGTTAAGGAGAAGAAAATGATGCAGCAAAAATTGGTTTAAAAGTAGCATTGGGGAAGGAAGGAAAGTGGAGGCCTTAGTCGATTTCTTTCGGTTCTATTTTCTCAAACTCATGTCTATCTTTTATTTTAACTTAAGGATTGTGTAACTAAATTTTTAGTAGTTAGGGGCTGTTTTGAAGCCTCGAATATGATTGCGAGTTTGTTATGACATTTCGTTTGAATTACTTTTATGAATGGATGAAAATTGATTCATTACTTGTCTCATTGATGAATTCTTTATGTGTTTTCTACGGATGCATACTTAGTAAGCATATCTAGGATTCTAATGCTATGAATATGTGTGTGCCTGCCCTTGTCAAATGAGGACCTACATATGTTCTAGAGTAGTACTTGTTAATTGCGATTAACATATGAACCAATTTCTAGGATAAGTAAGACAACGCCAGTACTTACGATGTCTTGTGATGACTCAAACTCTTTTCGTTCTTAATGATTTCTACTTGTTAAATCTATGAACACGCCATTCTAGATTGCATGTTAGGGATTAAGTTAAGTTGAAAACACCATTCTCTTAACATACTACATAAGAAAGAGTAATAGGTTGAGTTCTAACATTGAGCCAACTTGAGCATCTTCATCCGGAAATAGAAGGAATTTGAATGAAACTTAACAATTTTTGCATGATTATTTGGTGGTGGATAGCAATTCCCCTAACTCGTTTTTCTTAATTTGCGAACTACTCAAAATCTGTTTCTGTTCTATCTTTGTTCGATTTAATTTAAACAGCAAATCAACTCCAAAAGTCCTAAAAATTTGTATGAGTGTAACTTTGTGTGTCTAGTATTTGCATATAAAATTTCGTAGACTTTAGATAAGTGTAAGTCGGTCTAATAATTATTTTTGGTGGCTGGCTAGTAGGGACAGTAGCCCAGTTTTTGTGACATTTAGTAGTTAGATAAAACAATCTTCTGCGGGAAAAACCCTTATTTTCATATGCTACAATTGACAAATCTTATTGTTAATAAGGAAAATTAATAGGACATTTGTGTTCTACTTTGTGGTGTGCTTTCAATCCTATCAATATGGATCCATCCATGCTAGCAAAGAAAAGGAAAGAAAAATAAAAAGGGTTACTGTTTTACATACATCGTTTTAGTTCAATTGATTAAGAATACTCTCTTGTTTATTTGAATTCTCAATTCAGATTTCTGAATATCTTTTGTATTTAAAACAACAAGAGAGTATTACCAAAAAGGGATTTCAATGAAACTAGAAAATATATTCAAGACAATTTTTACCAATTATATGTCGGTCGAAGCTGTATGAGATGAGTGAGTGGTCTAAATTGCAATTTGCAGGCTCCCTCCATGCCATCTCTTCATTGAAGATTGACATGCAGACATGCATGTATGTCCACGACTATTTTTATAGAGCAGTCCCCATGCAACTTAATTTGTCATCATCTTTCTGACTCTCACTGAGTCACTCCATATGTCCAAGGCATGTGCATAACATGGAGCCCCACGCCAGAGTCAAAATTACAATCTTATTCAATTTACCCCACTCGTGACGTCAATATTCATCTGTCTCGATCTTAATTACATATCATTTATCTCGATTCAAATCTACAAATTATTTCGAAAGTTCCCATAGCAAATTTGGTCTTTTCTAGTGTTTAAAAAATCATTGCATATCCATCCATCGTTGATTAGTTGTGCATTGGACGCTCACATTCAAACAAATTGATCAGTTAATGACCCAGATTAATTAATCCGGGCGCACTTTTTCGATCTTTCTAATAGCTAGCAAAATTGCTTCATAACGTTAAGACAGCTTGTAGTCATCACTGTTATTAATCAGAAAAATAAACTGAATATTAAAGCAATGAGAACACTGATAAGTAATTAAGAAAAGATATACGTGTTTTAAATTTAATAAATTTGGGAAGGCAACTCCTCAACCTCCAACTACACAGTCTACACTGTACGTGTACGGTGGTGTGGCCTATGGGGTTAACTTGTATATTTATTGTACACTGCCCTCTATTTTTCTCTATAAATAGAGGCAAGAATGCTTCTTAATTTCCAAGTATTCTACTCTCCTTTCAGTTGAACAAAAATGGTTTCCAAGACTTTCATTTACTTTGGTCTTTTGCTTGCCATTGCCCTTCTCATTTCCTCTGAAGTGGGCGCAAATGGTGAGCTTAACTTTTCCCTTCTAATTTTTGTAGAAATTATATATTGCTAGCTTCCTAGTGTCACCAAAGTTGCTAAGCAAAGTTATACATACAATTTGTGAGCTTAATTTGTTGTACTTTCCACAACATAATACTAGTGTACTTAACTTTATTCACCAAATAGATATAGTACAAGTATATGCTACTTAAAATTAAATTAGGTTCCAAATTCACAATGATATATTTGAATAAATGAAATATTGTCACCTCATTTAAACGTATGTTCCTTACATGACTTTCAGCTGCGGAGACTACTACAAATCCCAATGGTGTAGGTGATGCCAAGTATGGTGGCGGGTACCAAGGAGATCCTGGGCGAGGTGGGTATGGTGGCAACCCTGGTCGTGGGGGTTACGGTGGAGGAGGTCGTGGTGGAAATGGAGGAGGAGGCCGTGGAGGGCGTTGCTACTATGGTTGTTGCAGATGGAGTTACAATGGAAGAGAGTGCCTAAGGTGCTGCAATCATGCTGGTCAGGCTGTTGATGCACAACCTCACAACTAGTTCATTAGTTAATTAGGCTTCTGCATGCCCATGCATGCAGTGTGCTTAATTAATTATCTAATTATGTTCTAATGCATGTTCTTAATATGCTTGAAGCACTTAATTCCCTCGATCGTATTCCTATGTATGAATCGAATAAAACTTCACTAGCGAGAGGCATATGCAAAAATAAAGTTAATCACGAGTGCTAGTGTACTCAGTTATAATCTCATGGTTTGAGTGCTCTTTAATT